TAACACAAACAGTTAATCTGCACTAGTTAAGAAAAAAAACATTATCCAAACTGAAAAAAAAAAGGGAAGAGATCAAATTTACTTGTTAGCCCCTGAACTTTGTTTGAGGTTATTATTTTGTGATCCTAATTTAATTTAATGCGGAGTAGCAAGATCGGTCATTGTGATTGGATGCTCGTATCCACATGAATATACTTTATGGGCTTTAAGAAAAAGGTCGAAAGGGCACTAATTAAGATCCTTTGCGGCTGAAGGTGTGAAATCTGGAGACTCCCATTATAAAGTATTGTTGATGTCACGTACAGACGCACAAACTAAATTCAGGTGTCCTAATCAAGGACCCAGAGGACCAAACTGGTTATTGCCTCTATGGTCATTTTTATATATAAAATTCATGAACGGCTTTTCATATGCCAAAGCATTTGCAGATATGCATGGGCAGGTAATCGTTACTTTTCGTCGAAGAAACCTATCGGAAGAAAAACTTACGGTTGAGAGCGTCTTGCTTTACGCTCATCCTTTGCTTTTTTTTTTTTTAAGTATTTTAAGATCTTCTGGTTAACAACATATCTAAGAACTTAGTTATTGATATAGCACAATAACGTCGTGTAATTCATGTAACTAACCCCACCTAGTGGGATAAAACTTTTTGTTGTTACTGTTTTGATTTAATACAAATTTTTTTTTGTTAGGCACGTGTATTCTTTTATTAGAAGCGGTTTTGTTGAATGTATTGTCGGGAACTATGAATATTTTTTTTAATAAGAATTTAAATATTGGTTTGTCATGTTGAATTCGAACTCGGAATTTCATCCAAATGTAACATGTGGGATTGTTGTTAGGAGAAAACTTACGGGTTTACTCTTCTGTGATGTGATAACTGGAAAACTCAACTACAGATTTTAGCTTGTGTGAAAGCAGAAGGGTTTTATAAGTTAGTCGGAAGATGCGTTGCAGAATGTAATTGGACAAAAAATTAAGTGATAATCAATAATTTAATTAAATATTCAGAGAGTGAGTGGTCTTTAAAGCGTGGGGTGCATCGCCTTGGAAAAATGCAGCGCACTTTACAAAAAGATGAAAAAGACAATCTAATCAAGCAACATGCTCCCAGCATTTAGTATTAAAGATAAAGAGGAACGAGTTTGTCCGAGTGGAGAACTGGATATACAAGCACTTTTTACTTTGCTCTTACAATTTTTTATTAAACACGTACATATTTGTTCACAAAAGGTTTAAAATTAAACACTCGTATTAATAAAATACTTATTCCTGTTGTAAATAAATATATAAAATTAGTCCATTTGTTTATTTTAATTTTAAATTAAGTCCTCAATTTATTTTGTTTTTCAAATTTATAGTATTTTGCTTAAATCATATCTATCGATTGTATGTATGAAAGGAAATTTCTATCAGTAAGATAATGACAAAATGAAATATTTTAAAAAGGCTAATACATATTTGTTATACCGATATAAAGGTTTTATATTTAAAACCGGAAGAGTAGAAAATTAACCTAAATAATTATTGAATATTTTTTAAATTAATTATTTGATTTTCATATTTAAAACTAAACAACTATTTAGTTAAGTTGGATTCTAAACTTTCGGCAAAGTCAATATAAGCCTTATGGCTTAAGGAGCACTATAGATATACTTACATACTACCTCTGATCTTAATTATAAGATCCTATTTGTAGACTACTAATATGTTCTTATAATTAGGACCAGAGGTAGTATTACCCAACCAAACCTCGCATAAAACATGACATAGTGATGGTATTGTAATTTTTTCGGCAGATGATATTATTGTATTTTTTTATTAGTAATTCAAAGAAAAAAAGTGCTGAAGGAGCCTGCCCGAATAACGTTATGGAAAATACTAATTAGGTAGATTATTGGGCCAGGACGTATTGATGAGGATGGGCTTCACATGCTAGCCAGCGCTGATAGTAACGGATAACTCAGCCCATAAACATGAGATGAGGCCCACATGAACTACGTTTCATGGACCGTATTTAATAATTAATTATTTGAGCAATAGAGATTGAATCTAACAAAAAAGACTAGTTCCTCACTGTATGGTGAACTAAAGTTTGAATTGTAGCTATGAGAGGTACATACATTTAATGCTTGACAGGACGCCTCCAATAGGAGGATACTTGTGCTTACCAAAAAAACAAAATAATAATTCATTGCTTAACCAACAAAGTTGGGTCTAGTGGAAAGAACTAATATATTACAACATGGTGAACCAATATTCAAATTTTTGTTAAGAGAAGTGCCTACATTAAGGATCTAATTCTCGAATAGGATTGCTCCTAATAAGAGGATACTTATCCCTATGAAAAAAAATTCATTATTTGTCAACAAGAATTGGTTCAGTTAATAAGGAACTGACTCATAACTGACAAAGTCAAGAATTCGAATCTCACTGCAAATGTGAGGATCTTATTTGTAAGTAATTTATGAGTAGCTCTGTAAGTGTTTTCTGAATCTAAAAACATGTTTTAACCCTGATAATTTCTTAGGACCAATTTATGAAAACATTTTTGTAGCAAAAAGAAATCACTATTATAGTAGCTATCAGTGGATTTGGACATATCTGGGGGTGAGGGGACAAACAAGCCTCCCCCCTTTGTGTGGTTAGATGTATATAAATGATATTTTCTTGAATTAAGGAATCTTCAACAGAGGATGGATTGTATTCTTTGCAATACAGGCTGCCTCCCCTACCCTATCTTGTTTTTGTGTGTCGTGTGGGTTGTCTTTTCCAGCTATTTGGTTGACAATTGATGATGGATTCGAGTCTTTTGGATTTTGATTCATGTGTTTGTGTCTTCATTTTCTTTAATTAGCTTCCAGTTTGAATTCAAAGTGCATATAACTATTACCTAGTCAATTGTTCCTTTAAATTTCCCCATGATTTTTCACTCATACGCTCAACCCTGTTCCTTCCTTCTGTGTGTGATATATATATATACACACACACATACTACCTCTGGTTTTAATTATAAAAACTAGTTGATTAATTTGAAGAGATTAAAAAATAAGTTAAGTTAGTTTGTAATAAATAGGCGTTGTATTTCTTAAAATATTATTGTTAATTAATTGTATTGGCTAGAACTACCATTATTAGAAAGATTATCTTTAAAAAAATACATAAATATGAAAGAAAAAGTGGATTATAATCTTATGATTAGGACTAAAATAAAAGTCAAACGAGGTCTTATATTAAGGACTGAAGGTAGTATATATGAACTCCTACCATTCACACCGTTAGACCGACTAATTTATACCAACCATTCATAATATTCTATAACCTCAGCTGCAAAATATAGAAACTTATTAATGACTTTGTTTTGATTATAAATATAAAACTTCAATTGATTATGTTCCTTAAATTTATAATTTTCTCTCAAAGTATTCATATGAGTTGCATTGTATGTATTAATTCTAGAGGATGATAATTAGAGCGGATGCTTAGAAAATTAAAACTAACATATATTTATTACAAATAATGAACTTAATCAATTTTTTTAATATTTTATAAATTAATTATCTATTACCTCTTACATTTTAATTAGAACCGGAGAAAGTATAGCACAAGACTCTAACAACTTGAATGCATCATGAGATTCTCCGCCCCTATCGTCCCCTTTTTATGGGATTGAAGAAATCATTAGGTTCAGAAGAAGTTGATAATAAAATTTTGATGGATTTTGGAAAATAGAAACCCATGTACTAACTCTCGTCCTTAATATAAGAGTTAGATAACTAATTTGAAGAAAATAAAAAATTAGTTAAATTAGTTATCTGTAACAAATATATGTTGACTTTCTTAAATTATCCTAATTCAATAATGGACACTGAAACTACTCTTGTGTGGAAATACCTTATAATTAATTAGGATATTTTTTGAGAATACATGATAAATTTGGGAGACAAAATAGATTGGGATTTTATATTTAAGACAGCCAACTAACTTTTATATTTAGGACTAGAGGTAGTACTCCTCCTTTCTTTAACATAGGACATAATTTGAGAGTTGATGCTGGTCTTATATGTAAAACTTATTTCATATATTTATTAATTTTTTTAAATTAATCTTATTGATATTCCCTTAATAATAATCAAATAGAAAAAAGAATGAGAGAATTAACGAAGATAATTTGAATGTTTTAAAAAAATATACTCCTCCGGTCCTTAATATAAAACCCAATTGTTGAGTTAGTTTTAGTCCTAAATATAAGATCCATTTATCACATTTATCAATTTTCTCCAAATTATCCCTATGGATACTCCCTCAATCACAATCAAGTAGAAGAGGAAGATGAGGTATTAAGAAAGATGATTATGGTATTTTAGGAAAAACATGTCACATTTCTTATAATTAACTAACTTACCTAACTTCCTTAGTATACTCAAATTAGTTAAATGGGTCTTATATTAAGGACCGGAGGAGTATTATAATAACTAATTTAACTACTCTACTTAAATTAATTAATTAGTTCTAGGAGTATTTCTTATTTTTCTCTGATCATTAGGTTGTAAGGCTTGACTTTCACCTACGCATGCTTAGCTTAACTGCACCCTCTTTTTGACGCATCACGCTCTCTCTTTCTCCACACGCCATGCTTCTTTTTTCATTAGGGTGCATTTGAAGTCAACCCCAGCTGAGATTCGCAGAGAAACAAATCAAACAAGAGGTGGGTCCTCTTATCTGGAACCCAATTTAAACTTTTGCTTAATATGCATGAAGTTTTTTAAACTCGTTAACCAGGGAGGGGTAAAAGAAAAGTGGAGAAAAAGAGAAGAGGCGAGATCCATATATAAACTTGTCAATTAACTAGTTAACTGCTGTGTGCGCCACTGTACTATGCTGTAATTTAGAACATATAACACGGAAATTTCATGCATGATCTCTCTCTCATTTACTTGCCTTTCTCTTTCTATTAAAGTTTGCTCGACATATACAGGCTGATACTTAGAATCAAATTATAAACATTCAATGTACGTATTTGTAATAATGATAGATTCCAAAGCCTGTAACTGTACTAGAAGAGAATCTTGAAGCTAGCTTCAAGTTGATTGTGCACTTGACAAAAATGCTGTACCAGGAAGAAAATACGGACCATATATTTGACGAACAACGCAATCAAATTCAAGCTTAGATGCGGACACAGGCTGGCTGGCTGGCTATAACAGGATGAGACTTGAATGTTTCAAAACACAAGAACTTACCAGTTTTCTTTGTTGACTTTCTAATAATTTTCCGAATTTTCTCTTTCATGTCCCTAATCGCATTCGATGCAATAGATCGGACTCTCATCATGGTTCATGATATGTTTGTATTTGTGCAGGAAGGATATCGATGCATAGAACCAGTGTAAGCAGATACGGAAGGGAAATACATAAACAGAAGAGGCACAGCCAGCGCAAGGTGGAAAACCCTAGACCCGGAAAAGGAAAATATCATCAATATAGATAGAGAGTACTGCTAAGTCAGTGCCTGAAATTTCCTGTATTTCTGTGAAAAAGAAGAAACCCATTCATTACGTTGAAGCATAAACAGCTTCAGACAGAGATTCAACTGAGATTCTTGTCTTCCTCCATTACTCCTAGTCTAGAGAACAGCACAGCTTTTGCGGAAAATAAGGTTGAAAAAGTAATAGACAAAAAACAAAGGAGAAGGAGGGATCAAAGATGCGAGGTGATAAACAGGGAAGTTAATCTCAAGCAACAAAATATGCATATCATCAGGACCTTCATCGATCTGAATTGGGAGTACAAAAATAATAAGAAGAAACAGAAAATATAAAATCAGAGAGAGAGAGGGAGAGAGGGAGAGAGAGAGCGTGCTTGAATATTTGAAAATAAATGCTTGAAATAGATATACTCAACCTATATATATTTATAACCAAAACCGAAGTGGATCGGACCAGGACGCTTGATTCCCCCGGAGTAGTCGATGAGTTTCGATGGGATCTTGCCAGCAAAAGCCGGATAGATATCCTCACAGCACTCAATATATACTCCTCTGAAACTTGTGACCGGAAATCGCCTACTAGATGTCAAAGTAGGGTTCTCTCATAACCAAAAACCCACCTCCTCCTCCTCCTTCTTCTTCGTCTTCTTCTTCTTCTTCCCCTTGTTCTTGTTCTTGGTGTTTGTGTTGTAATAATAGTGGAGGGTGGTATTGTTTTGTGTGTAAAGAAGAGAAGTGGTGGTGGTGATAATGATGAGGAAGGGGTTGACGGATGGTGATGATGATGATGATAAGGGTGAGAGGAGGGAAGGAGGAGAAGGAGGAGGTCATGATGATTGCTGTTTGGGGATGGCGTTGAAAGGTCGAAGAAAAATCCAAGCTAGTTCGTGCCATCACTATACTCCTCCCTCTTTCTCTCTCTGGGAGAAAGAAGAAAGAGACTCCTTTGATAGAATACAATAACCTCTCCTTCTCTCTTTCTCTCTCTATTTCTCTTGCGCTGTGGGAATATGAATTATCACGAAAAACGTGGAGCCAACTTTTCCATGGCGTCCTGCTCCTGTTGGCGAGGAAAAGGAAACACAGTCCCCATCTTATTTTCCATACTCAAATCATGATCATCGCCTGCCACTCTCTTCTTCTTAATTAGTCCCCACTCTTACCCTCCACTCATTTTGGCCCACCCCCTCTATTCTCTTTGTTCCCACTTTATAATGTACAACTTCTTTCTTTCTACTGATTAATTAATCAACAAAATTCCAATTTACTGCAACAGATCGGCTTCACCTAATATAATACTTCAGTGTAACATTAAAATCATTTTTGTTAGGAATTAAAGACCATCTGAGATCACCTTTTATATTAATTAGGCTTTTGTGTGTTCTTTTGGGGTGCCAGCTTATAGATAGTGCAGAGTCATTATTGGATAAATTCAAAGGACAATGGCTGTGGCGGAATTCTGAATATCTATACATATACATACTTTAATCAGGCATCTCTAAACATCTTTTAATGAGGAATATTATATTGAACACAGTAAAAGGCTGTTTGTGACTGTATATGAAGTAGATAAAATCGTTCAAGCTTTATAGGGCTTAGTTAAAGAGAGAATTTGGCAGGTACAGAGATAAATATTCCCACATGAAAGAATAAAGAATGACAAAGTACCCATCAAAAGAACTGATGTCCAAGTAATAAAATACAAAGGAAACAATTGCGACAGAGAGAGAGAGAGGGGAGGGAGGGAATATATACATATGAGGCCTTGTGAAAGTAATGGCTGTCCTTGTGCAGCAAAGAAGCACAGAGACTGGTAAATACAAATGGAGACAAAAAAATGGTAGTTACTGTTCAAATTAATAATGGAAAATAATGTTCCGGCATATGTGAAGCTTGAAAGCAATAATTCATTGTTTACAGAGACAGAGGAAAAGATTCCCATGCAAGCATATTTTGAATATATTATGTCTATATATAATGTCAGGACTCCACTTTATACCTGGTTCTGAGTAGGGCAACACTTCTGCCTTGGGTTCTCTCACTTCTCAACGACTCGTCTCATATCAATGTCTCTAAAACTTCTTTACACTCTTTTTGTTTTTATATTTCCTTCCTCTCTCATCATCACTTTAATTATTTAACCTCTTCTCCTGTGGGTGTGGGTGTGGGTGTGTTTTGATGCAAATAAATAAGGATCTGAATCCAAACTCTCACCTCAGTTAATCATATAGGTGTTAGCCCTAGGTTTAAATTCCCCCAAAACCAACCAGCAAAGTCTTTCTCGGTGGGCATAAGAAGATCATATCTAGGAGTTACCAGTTGTAAATAGTTATAACTTGATTAAAATTACTTGCGGTCAAGGTTTGGATATGATTGGGAAGTACTTTAACTTTCTCCCACTGCTTTTTATCACAAATAAAAAAGCATCTCAGATTATCAGATATAAATATATATATTAATTCCTTTACTAGCTATCTTCTTTTCACATAATTGAAATCTAATCTATTAACAACCGCACAAATGAAATTCTGTTAGTTGTAAAGTTAACTCTTGCATGTACAGTTACAAATGCAGCATTATGATCTGCTTGGAAATGTGACACGGCGTTACATTACTTGTGATTTAGGGTTTGGTGGAAGAACAAGCTTTAATATTACGTGGAAAAGGTTATCGGTGTGTGTAGTGAGGAAGGAGGACAAAAGTAGTCCTAGAAAATAACCCTGGAAGAGAGAGGCTCTTTTATGTTTGACCCTGATAAAGTCACTCATGAGAGGCCAGCCTTTTCTTCCACTTTCTTCTCTTACGAGTGGCCGAAAATTTGTGACTGAACCAAACTGGTTTTTTTCTTTAATGCTAGAAAAGTGATACTCTATTACTCTTTCTCACAACAAAAGTGGGTTTCTTTTTCCAGAGATCTAAATCTTTTTGGCTCAAAACAAAAGTCTAAACCCCTATATTTATGTTATAAAGTGCACAGTCTCCCATGTCCCCTCAATACCAAATATAATTTGTTGGCAAGATGAACAATAATATCACTTTAACCTTTTAATTTTAATATAAGCCTTGTGTGTGTGTGTGTGTGTGTTGTTTGCACATAAGTTTTCTATTTTTTCCATGCATTTTAAATACCTTAAAAGATCTCGTTTAAGTATTTGATCATAATTTGATGAATTGAGAAAAACTTCACTTTAAAACAGTATATCCTTATATGCGTCTTTACGGCGCGCACACACACACATATGTTTAGATAGATAGATATCATTACTTGTTTACACTAAATCATCTTGATATTATTGTGTGTTGATCAGAGGTATCTTTGTCATGCATCGCTTGTTCTGGTTAGACATATGTGGAGCAGAGGAGAGAATATTGCCAGTCTCTATGATGATGGTCCATATGTTTGTGGTTTTGACAGTATAGGTAATTAACTAACTGCTCAAACTATGGATATTTAAAAAAAAAAAAAATTTGCTTTGGTCAACAAGTGAAAAAAAGGGGGAAGACCATTATAAATTATGAATTTATAAATCCTTGCTAAATGTATATGATTCTACAACTAAGATAAATTCCACTTATCATCGATCAGCAACTTATTTTGATTGAAAAACTTTGAATAGCCCCTGGATTTGAAAGAGTTGCTTGCAATAATTAAAATGTGAAGAATCTCATACAACAAAAGAGACAGGTAACTGTTTTATGGTTTGACATCTCATCTTACTCTTTCAAAAGATGGCTATACATCACCAAAATCGAATGAATTTGCCATTAATTAATATTAATATTGCGTTGCTATTGAATTTCATAAATTAATAATAGGAGGCCGAATGCTTGCCAAGCAAGAATAGGTGATCAAATATTCCATTCAGTGTCATTGTAACTAATCTCTGGTGTTGTTTTAGCAACCGGCCCCCCGGGGGGTAGGAATTTGAACTTTAAGATCACCAATTAATTACTAATCACTGTTGCTTATAGACATGCGGTTTGGTACCTTTTTTATTTTTCAGATGCTTAAAATGTCAGATTAGAAGGCATTTAAGTTTAATTTATATGTATCTGATGTTTGCCCTGAATGAAAATATTTTCATCTATTGCCTGGTCATATATGCTTGGAAAAGAAAAGATATGTTTACACCAAGAATAACCTACCATTTACTTCGTATCCAAACACCATTATGCGGTGTTTGGATACCTCAATAATCACTTTTCAGAAGCATTTTTTTGTAAATCGAGGTAAACTCCTCCACATATTTATTTTGTATACTGTAAAAGTACTTTTAAAATCATGATTTTGATCTTACCCAAACACTTCCTAGGTAGCTAGCCAAAAGCATTTTATTTATGTCCAGACACAAATTACGATTATTATTAGTATTGAGCAGATTCAGAGCACAAATTATTAAACAATCAGAGATTTGCACTTTAAAGAAGCACAGAGACCAAGGAAGGCAAAAACTCTGTGGGGCACCACCCACAAACATGTCCATGTTCAAGAGCTGGGGCAGTGTGAAGCCTTGAAAAGTTTCTTTAGCATAGGCAACCAAGTTCAATGTCGTAAAAATGTCTTTCATGAAAGAGGGAGGACTCCACTGTACCAAAAAAGTGGAAGAAGACTATGCTTCTATCGATAAAGGATCAAAGGAACAAGTACGAGCTAGCAAGGGGGGGAAAAGGAATGGCCTAACTGAGATCCTTTGCGTGCATCTGTATTAAAATTTTACAAAATTTATCTTCTTTTCTTAACTTGAATATGACATTTTCAACAGTTTAGTTTGATTTTTAAACTCTTCTATCATAATGCTTTGTATTTAAAGCACATGATATTTGTTGTTTTATAACAAATTGTGTGTACATATATATATTAAAAATAAATATAAAACAGAGGGGAGGGCGGGGACACGCTAAGCTAAGCGAATTATGTGAGATAATGATGAAGATCCAAACCTGAATTGGGTTGGGCTACAATAAGGCTGCTTTATTGGGCCAACAAAAGGCTCCTGCCAATCCATGGGCTTCCTCAACTCTCCCTCATCCCTGCGTTTCATGGTGCTGGGCCTGACTTTGGCACTTCTTTTTTTTTTTTTTAAATAAAATTTTCTTATGATTCTGAGCACTTTAGTCCCGTTTAGTACGAAGCATTAAAAATGAGGAATAAGATTGAGATTGAAGTTAAAAGCTATATTAAAAAGATATTTAGTATGAGTAATCGTGTAATACTTGGGATTAGACAAACCCATATATATGGGATTGAAGAATACTATTAGGAGAAGTGGTATTCTTCAATTCTATCTACATGGGATTACCTAATCCCATGTGATAAGAAATAATTTATGCTAAATATCATTTTAACATATGTTTTTAATTCCAATTTCAATCCTTATATCTCATTTTCAATGTTTCATACCAAACAGAACCTTTGTATTTTGCAATGGCCATAGAAGGGGATGATGTAGATTCCTTTAGGGTCCATTTGGTATGAAGGAAATGAAGGGAAGAGAAAAACAGGAGAAATTTTAATGAGCTTGATTTAAAAAATTAAAAAAGTGAGGTTAAAAGCTTTTAATTACATTTTACTATTCTTTTATCTTGCATCTTCTCTTTATTATAATTTTAAAACTTCATTCTTCCAATTTTTTAAATTGAGTTGAGTAAAAAAAATTCTCCTCTTCCCTCCCCTCCATTTTTCTCATACCAATGACAGAGTTAAGGTATTAATATTGTAATTTCATTAAGATGTTGTTATTCATTCTCTGTTTCATGTTGAGTCCATATGGTTCTTGTTGTAGACTTGAAATGTTGCTTTATCTATTCTCTCGTTCATCTTCCTCTACTTCTCATCATGAAAACATTTCTGGTTTTAGGTAGGGGGGAGGTTTTAATTTGTTTGAAATGCTACATTTTTATAAGCACAGAGCGTTTTGTCTAATTTCTCAGACATCTTTCAGAGATTTTTTTTTTGGAATTAAATGGGCAAACAGCTTAGGGTTATAAACGATATTTAGTAGTTAGTTCTCATACCACTAGATTGCAAGATTAGTGAGGTCTTTCAGAAATCCCGAGAGGCTACGCAGACACTCAATTGCGAAGCAATATCAAAGGTCATAGTAATTAATAAAAAGTCATCCGAGCAACACAAAGTTCTCATAAAATAAGCAAAATACTACTATCTTATTTCCATTTTTGGACCGCGACCAACGAGGATTCCTGTAAGTGCCAAAATCTTGTCGAGGCTATCCCATAAGTTTCTTTCACTATAGTATGAACGGTCAAATTTAAATATCCCTGACTGAGAGAGAGTTTAATCAATTGGTGGTTTTCTTTCCTGAAAGGTAATTTGCATTAGAAGTTTACATGAGGTGCCTTGTCATTTTAGATTTTAAGTGGCTTTTTGCAAAGTTGGTTTTGTCATCTTGTGCTAATTGCTAAATATCCGTGTTCTTCGCTTTAGATGTGGCATTTACGTGCCATCCATCCATCTGTCTATCTATCAGGACGCAACTAGTTCTCAATTGTTAGATTCTTAGGATTCCAGATATTTCAACATTATTTAATCATTTAGTGCCAGAAGCTTGATTCATATTATATGCTATATACGAACCAAATACGCTTCGATCAGTTGTGGATAAATAGAAGCTTAATCTCTAAACGCTGATTGGCGGCCTTAATTAGTTGCTTCAACTGATCAATCCAGAGGAGAATTCAAAATTTAATACTTTTACCTTTGAATAACTGGGGAGGCCAGAGTGAAGATAAGAGAAAGAAAAACACTTGATATAAATTTTTTTCCCCCACATGTCGTGAAAACAGAAACTAGAGAACAGGTACAATGATCTGCCAAACCTTAATGTCACAGTCCAAACTGCCACTGTAAACTAGAAAAGATTCTTCAGACTGACCACTAGGATCAACCGCTGCAGTTAAGCATTTAACAGGACCCCTATGTCCTTCTAAAACTGCTAAACAAGAGTAATCATCATGAACTCCTCTCCATATTCTGATTGTTTTATCAGCAGAACCACTAAAAACCAAATCCGAAACCATGGCTAAGCATAATATGGACTCGGTGTGTCCCCTAAGCGCACCCACCAGCGTCATTTTCCCATCTTCTTCTTCTTCATCCTTTTCCCAAACCAGTATAGATCTGTCACAAGCACCTGAATAGAGCAGAGACCCATCACTGCTCAGAGCCAAGGCATTAATCCCAGAGTTGTGTTTCTCTAACGTATCAACCAGACAATGTTTCTTCTCTCCTTCGCCTTTCTTCCATACCTTGATCTTCTTATCTGCTGATCCGGTGTACACGTAACCATCATCAGAAACTGCCATGGCGTTTATGGCATCATCATGTGCGTTGTTCACTGATTCTAAACAGGTGAAGTCGCTGGTTCGCCAGACTTTGACTGAGCGGTCCCATGAAACTGAGTAGAGCAAGGTCTCGTCCCTGGACAAGGCCAGAGCAGAGACAGTGTCCACATGGTGAATCCAGGTGCATTTTTTGTGCCTCCTAATCTGCACATGGTTCTTTGGGTTCAACACCTTCGTGGCCCGGTCACCAAACGTCGGAAGCGTGGCTAAACGGGTGTACTTCTGATGGTCAGGTTCGTAGCTGCTTATCTTCCATACTCTGATTTTGTAGTCTTGGTGGGCGCTGAAGAGTTTATCAGACTGAACTATTAAGGACTTTACTGCACCTTTCCCTGCCGTCACCACGTTAGTGATTGAGTTTGACTGTTCAGTGTCGAATATTTCAGAATGCAAAGAAGCATGATTCCAGGACCTGATTTCTCTGTCAGATGATCCTGTGTAGAGGAATTTCCCAGCAAGGGCTATACAGGATATATAAGATGTGTGACCTTTGAGAGTGGCAAGACACTGATGATAGGTCGAGGCATGGTGCTGAGACCGAGAGTTCAGGGAAGGAACCGAAGCAAGGCTGCGTTGTGAAGACAGAGAGGTTAGTCTAGATTGAGGATGGTTGGATGAAGAAGACGATCGGTGGAACTCCATGATTCACATATTGGGGGGGGGGGGAGAGAGAGAGAGAGAGAGAGAATGGACCAGTTTGCATCAGAAGGCCAAGTGAGCTGTCTCTAATATACGTGTGCGCGCATATATAGAAGATGGGGATATTGGATAGAGAAGTAGCTAGTTGGTGAGACTGCTGCTATTATATTAGAGTTGGGTGGCGTGGGGTCTGCAAGGACAAAGTGAGGAAGCAAGATTGATCCATTAGGGGGCCATTCTAAAAAAATGAAACGGGATATTGAGCTTTCAAGTCACTGTGCAAAACCCGTTTGGTAATTAGAGCATCATATCATTCTTAATTGAAGCTGGGGTCACTCCTCACCATCCACACGTCCTTTCTATATCCTCTCTGCTTAGAAGAGAAGCGGCAGGTATTAGGTAGCATGAATGGACAGGTTCAACCTTCATCATTTCAGGCCTAATACGATTTACAAGTTTCAAACCAGCAAATTTGACTCATCCCACCATCTGCACAGTAATATCAAGTTAAAAACAAAAAAAAGAGAGTCTTGGTCAGCTTGGGGGTATTAGCTAGCATCCACCAAGTTCCTTTCACCTAATTTTGTTTTGTGATCGTAATCTAGCTAGCGCGCTTGATCTAAGGTTTTTGCCTGAATTCTATATTGTTGGGAGTGTGTTTTAACTGTGTTCAATTTAATTATTTTAAAACAAGAATGCAAGTCCTTTAGGAACAAATCTCAATAATAGGTAACTGATATATTTAATTATGTACACATAGATCAAAAAGTTTTCTTGGCGGGGGGACAAACAACATTAAATAATCATGCAATGGGTCAAGGATGATTTCGACTGATTTAGCCACTTGTATCAGATGGTCGTTATTATCTTTTAGAAGCTGTTTCTTTTCTGGTTAGTACTCATTAAACGGTATTACTCATTGGGGTCAGTACATGAATTAAGGCCACTAAATGTTTAAGATACACACACACACACACAATAGATAGAGACTGATTAATTTATTTGTGAATAAGCCATGTAGCTACTAGAGAGACCTAGGCGTGAAGAAAACCGATAGAAAAAGAAAGATCCCACAGTGGATAATGTCATTTGGTTTATCTTAAGATGCATGCCACCAGCAAAGTAACCCTTTAAAGGCTAGGCATATTATAGATCAAAATTGGCTAAATGATGACAATATAGGAATATGGACAGAGTAGGTTTTACGGATATATATTTGAAGATATGCAACCAAAAAAAAAAAGGAAAAAAAGAAGAAGAAGGAAAGGTGGAAGTTGTAGACATTAGGGTCTAAGCACTGATGGCAGAAATGTAGGACAACTGGGAGCATCATTTGTGCAGCTTACAGGACAGCATTAGCACATATTAAATCTTATTCATGTCCCCTATTTTGTTGGGTATGATTAGTGGTAGGCATATTTCAAGAAAAAAAGAAGCTTTTAACAAATATAAAATTTAGCGAAATAAAAAGAGAAATAGATGTGTTCTCATATTTGATAAGTGTATATTTACTAACTGATAAGTGTTATCTTTCTTTGAAAATTAAAAATTCGGTGGTTCTTCTGTGTCATTTTAAAAATTCATGTCCTTCTCTAGTCCCCTTGTGTCATTTTCCACGCATTTTAAGTTATGAATTATCCAATTTTACCGACCTGCTCTATGTTTTACCAGTTCCTTATGTCAGATCAATCTGTCAGTTGATTTATTAGGATGATCCTAATCTCAATTACTCATACATACGTGGTCATGTTGGGAGGGGTAAGGAAAAACAGGGGACAAAATGTTTAATGGGGTTGGTTACTTACAAGGAAAAGGACAGTGGGGGAAGTGAAACCATGTGGCTTCAACAAAACTGAGGTGATTGTGTGCCCACGCTGTGTTCTGTCTTGTCTTCTTTCTTCTGTGTCTCATTCTATCGCTTTTACATTTATGTTGTTTCTTGTTTCCCTCATGAATCTGAGCCCTTCATTCAGCAACCCATAGCTTAGCCTGCCCCATATCAACACACTTGAAGCAAGGCCTCTGTCTTTTCAACTCACTGCGTCAGTCTGGATCCCATTCTCTGCCAATACTTCCAAATTTTGATCTGTCCGCTCGCATAATCAGTTTCATGTCCCACCGTTCTGGCTTCCAGCTCCTGTTTAAATTCTCTGAGAATATAATTTGTAACCAAAAAAAAATTAAATATTATAGCCCTCCATCCATGATGAAACGTAGCTTCATCTTTGACAAGTCAATGAAATGTTAGATTATACCATACAGACAAAGAAACAAACAATAATACTCTCATTTGTTAGCTTTGCACAAATCCATGCACTTGGAAAATCGGACCTTCAGTAGCCTCGCCTTATCATTTAAATAATAATAATAATAATCCCTCTTGTTCTTAATATAAAAGTTAATTGAGAGTCAGATTTAATTTTAAATACAAGATACCATTTTATTTTTTCTAAACTAATTTAATTAACTTATGAAGTGATTTAGTGTTATAAAACAGTATTTTATGAAGATTATGTCACATTTATTGTAATTAGTTAATTTATTTAAATTAGTTAAGTAAATTTTATAGGGGCAATTACAATCAAGTTCCACATAAGAGAAATAATTACCAAAAAGTCTCAATAACAACATCAACAGCCTATAATCAATGACAAGTTCTATAGTGAGGACGACAACTTTTAAGATTTGTTTTTCAATTATTTTTCTTGTTTGGGACCTCATTGTAATTCTTTCAATTTTATATTAAGAAGAGAGATGGTAATTAATGACCAATGATTAAGAGAACAATTCTCAGGATTTAATTTTTAAGCTGGAACAAAAACATGTATTGTACCCAAAAAAAAATGTAGTTGGGAGAGTGATTTGAAAATGGAAGGTGGTGTGGGGTCCAGGTGGCAGAATTGGATTCATTGTTCACGTCAACCTCCATTGTGATATCTCCATCTCTATTTTAAAGTTTGGCCCTTCTTTCGTACCAATTTTCCTTCCATGTACTTGATTTCGCCCCACGGCCGCATAAAGAGCGAGGCACAGAAATGAAAAGTCAAAATTTCATTAGATAACAATAGAAGTTACACTATACATATACTTTTATTTGTTAAGTTATATTAAATAAGTATTTTATATTCTTGTCTGTGCATGCGCAAGTAGGGGGTAAACGTTACCCGATGTGATGGGGAAAGATAATTAATTTTAATAGTTTGCTACAAATTGTGAACTAAAGCCTATGAATTTTATTTTTCCTTTTGGGTTTGTAAGATCCAATTAATCAATTTGAAGAGATTAAAAAAAAACTAAATTATTTTAAAGTATTTATATTTATTATTTTTTCATAACTAATTTGTCTAACTTATAAATTGATATATAATCTAACAATACACATAAGTATATTAGGGATATCATATAACACATGTTATAATTAAATAATTTAATAATTTTTTTAATCTTTTCAAATTAGTTAATCAGGTCTTACATTGAGAAGCGAAGATAGAAATATCTAAAGATAAAGGAGCAATAAGTTTCAACACCTAACCCCTTTCTTTTGTCACGGAGGCATCGGCTTTTTCTAAACAAGAATTCAGACCATAGAATAATTTTGATGTGTTCCTCATTATTGGATGAGCGTATGTGGACAGCATTTTCAACCACATTTATAGCTGTACTTTGATAGTTTGATTTACCCCACACAAAAAAAAGTGCATGGCTATATAAAAAATGAGATTTATTTTTGTTTGGAACAGCGCCGGAGAATCACAAGCACCTATAATCATCTATTGACATCGACATTAAACTTTTAATCCCCTCTTTGTTAAGGAGGCATTTGAGCCATTGTGTCGACATGCCTACGCGAAAAAAAATGGGATGAGATTTATTATTTATGTGATTAAATAAATGAAAAATTAATTATTTGGTTCCTCTAATTCTACCTTGATTGCATATTAGTCTTTAAATTTTATACAATTTATGGTTCTTATAATTTTAACTTGATTGAAATAAGTCTTTATATTTTGACTTAAGCACAACTCAATAGCTATAACTAACCATTTAAAACATTCGTTCATAAGTTTAAAAAAATAACTTCAGTCCAATGCGGGAATCAACACATTTTAAAATAGTTAAAACGGTAAGAACTAATTTATATACCATATCTGAGTTTGTGAATTGAGCTTCAATGCAAGTTAAAATTATAGAAATTAAGTTATACTGAGATAATGAAGTTAACGGATTGAGTTAGAATTGAGTCAAAATTACATGAATTATATAATTAATTATCCCTTAAATAAATGGATAATAATTTTAATTCCACAAGAAGTCCGAATTATAATTTTGGAATTAATGAGCCAATCCGCCATGTTAGTTTTGACTATTACTGGTATATATTGAGAAAGTAGGAGCCTTGAGGCAATTGATCTCTTCAGTAGTTTCCGAGAAGCATGCATGCGTAATCGTCAAAGGATAGTGATGGGGACGTGGAAGCATGCATGCACTTGCTCACCATAATAGTCAAACTGCATGGTCCAAAAGTAAAAAGGAAAAATTGATAACCCCTGTCCTTTATGCTTCAAGAAAAATAATTATCTAAAGCATTAATATGGATTAATTCTGGATCATAATTCATAAACAGTTGTTTTTTATGACTGTATATGTAATTAATATAGGGAGATATATATATAGAGATATATATAAGTAGAAATATTGACTTGAGTGCGCAATTATTTTGTATATCGCATTTTCTTTAGAAAATACATAACCACGCAATCATATACTAATAAAATACTATATAACTTGCGATAAAATACCTTGTTCCTAGCTAGCTGCAGAGTGCTGAAGGTCTTGAAAAAGTTGCTTGATGAACGCTTAAAAGACTGTGATGATCATTTAAAACGTTAGTATATATTAATGTGAAATTTTCATGTCAATTAAAGCTCATAAAATGAATCTATGATGTCTCGAAGGTTGATATGTTTATTTAAATAAGTATTTTGTTAATCGAGGGATCTTCATCTTTTGCTTTTTGGTAGAGATAACAATAATATGGGAACTAGATGCTCCCTAGCTAGGAGTAGGAGAGTCCTCTTTTGTAGTTTACTTAGGCCCCAAGCCTCGCTTTTTACCACGAAAAAATAAAAACACAGTGAACCTACCGGATGATGTGAGCCTGAACTTACATTATACTCCTTCGGTCCTTAATATAAGATCCATTTAACTAATTTGATTAGATTAAGAAAGTTAGATAAGTTAGTTAATTATAAAAAAAGTGACACATTTTTTCTAAAACACCATAATCATCTTTTTTAATATCCTTCTCCCTCTTCTATTTGATTATGGTTGAGGGAGTATCTATAAGGGTAATTTAGAGGAAATTGATAAATATGAGAAATTGGTCTTATATTTAGGACCAAAACCAACTTAAGAATTGGGTCCTATATTAAAGACTGAAGGAGTAATTTATAAGAGATATTTTTGTAATTAAGTTGGCAAAGTTGCTTGGACTCTATGAATGCTTTCTAAGCCTAAAAAAGGTATCAGTATCATGATCCTGATGAGTTCATGAACCCAACTTATCTTTTTTTTTTTACCAAGAAAAAAAAAAGTTGGCAAAGCTGCTTCATTTCCAAGTTGTAGAGCTGATGTCAAAAGCATATGCTATCTCCCTATCTATTTTTAAATTATTAAGTTCTAGAAGCTAAATTATATGTGATTTGACTTGTAAATATGTCTAGTAAGATTTTTTAGGTTTAGTTAATAAGGTGATTAAACAATTTAGATTCATATTATTTAAAATTAAATAATATATACATGCCTGTTTTAAATATTTCCTCCTCACGTACAATTTATGCAACACTGCATTCATTTTACACTAGTCATCTAAAAATTTTAAAGAATTCCCCTAAATTCATCATTTTACTTTTTGAACAAGAGGTTTTCAAGTCTTAACAAATTTTGATAAATTAAAAAAATTAAATAAATCAGCTAATTACAATGAACGTGATATGATCTTCCTAAAGTATCACTGTATAATATTAAATTATATATCAGTTTATAAATTAGGTAAATTAGTTTAAAAAATAATAAATATAAGAGATAAAGTAAATTAATATATATATTTAGAACCAAATTCAAACGGTGAAATAAAATGAGTAGGGTCATTCAAATTGAGAAATGCCTTTTTTCCTCATAACTTTTTTGACACTATTTGAGCACATCAAGAACAACAAATGGGGTCGTGCGAGCACTAAATAGACAAAGCAGAAACGCACAATTCACAGATCAAGTTGCAAAGCAAAAACCAATCCTTCTATAAATTATTTGTGTCTGGTTGGTCCCATGGATGACACTTGCAGGTAGGTACACAGACACCTGTGATAAATTCTGAGAGTGATATCTATATATATATATTTGATGGCTTTGATTTGATTTGATCTTCGTCGTAGCTTTTCACTGCCTCCCAACACGTAAAAATCTGTGGTGTTTAAAAGCCACTGGATGGTCTGCCATTATATTGCATTTTCAGTTGCACTAGTAGCGATTTCCTTGTTGAGCAAACAAACATAGAAACTAGGGCATGTGATCTTGCTGTTACTGGCTCTCGTCATCCAATCAATTCCCCTTTTTTCTGTCTGTGGGAAAATTCTGCAGATTCATATGTTGCTCTCAAGAAAGATGCCATGTGTTTAGTTGTGGTCGTTTATTGTACTTTAATCTGCTGATCACCATTTTCACATGACTGTTGTTTTGTTTCCCAACTTCCTGCGCTTCTTCACATGGTGTATTTGTTGAAAGTGAAGTGTTCTTAGGAAAAATATATAAAGTGAAACGGATATCACCCTGAAAGGAAAACTACCCAAGAACAAGAAAAGCAATCTTATCTCTCTATTAAACAAAGCGTCTGCCACTCATGCTACTTCTTTTCTAGTCCTCGAAAGTTTGCTTGGAGAAGCTTAAGTACTTCATCAAAAGCACTCAAAATGTAATCTTATGATCTCCTTAAACCTCGTTTAGGAAAGACTTATTCTCTGTTGGGTCCTAAATTTAAAAGTGGAAACATAACAATATCATAAAATGTTGCTGTTTGGTTCCACATAAGGTTTTGCAATTTTTGAGGAAGGTTAGGAAGGAATCATAGGTAATAAAATTCCGAGGACGCTTCTGTCCTATGCTTAATATTGAAATAACTAACGTGGATCTTTTATATCGCATAACGTATACATTAAAAAGCAAATTATGTTATCATTATTTATAAATAATATATGAATGGTTAAATTTTTGACATAGGGATATGGTATAGATTTTCCAAGCCCCTGTGGATGAAGCTTGATTTGGTTTGAGCTCACGTCACTGAGAACATGAATGAGCCGTCAACAGTGGAGGGTTGTCTATGGACAGGATTATTTTGGCCATCTAGGCATGGCACCACACACCAGTTTGCACCGTAGAATTTTTCTTCTCATTAATAATTGAGAGGTTGACCGTCGTATGGTCTTCACAAATTTTAAATGCCAAAATCTGGAAACATTATCTCCACCTTTCTGAAACAGAAAATGAAAACCTACCTTTCTTTGTTCCTATGTGCCCGCATAAAACTGAAAGACCGCTATATAAAAGGCAAACTGGGAATGCTAAAAGAGGGGGGGGGTGTTTTCTTTTGTGCATATCTTAGAAAAGAAGGCAAACAACTTTAGTATCAGGAGCGACAATTAGTCCCATATCGGTAAACACCTTTTTTGGGTTTGGGCCGGGGGGTTTTACGGCAGGAGAATCTAATAGTTTCTTACTCGGCTTCCTTCTTTTTCGCCCCTTTTTTCCGACCACCTAACGCGGCTCCCTCTTAATATATGAATTGGGCCTCTTCTATATCGAACTTCTAGCTCGCACTGGGCTTTATACTCATTCAATGTGGCCCACGCGGTACAGTTCAAATAAACTAAATAGATGGCCCAGTATATTACAAAGGATTTAAAAAATATTTGATCCTTTTATAAATACTGCATGTCAGTGATAAACTTATATTATCTTCTGTCTTTAATATAAAAACTAATTAAATAATCTAAATAAATTAAAAAATTAGTTAAGTTAGTTATTTGTAATAAATATGTGTTGTTTTTTTTTTAAATATTCTCACTAATCAAATTTATTGGCTAAAATTACTATTATTATGATGAATACTTTAGGAAAAAAATAAATAAATATGAGAAACAAAGTAGATTAGAATCTTATATTTAATATCAAAATAAAATTCAAACAAGCTCTTGGCAGAAGATAGTATTTTATATTGATATTTATAATCATTTCATGTGTGAACAACACGTCATACATGAACATTTTAACCGATACATGTTACTCCCTCCGTTCCTTATTATAAGAGACATTTGATGCTTATGGCATGTTCCTATATATAAGAGACACTTAAAAGTTGTCTCTATTTTTTTGTGTTGATTTCCTATTTTACCCATATTTATTGTCTCCAACTCACACTCTCTCTCCCTCATACTTCTCTTTCTTTTAATAATTTAATTATTCTCTCTCATGTTCTCTCTCCTTATTAATGAGGGTAGTTTTGAAAAAAAAATTATACTTTTTACACATTGATTGTTCTTAACTAATTTTAACTGTTTTTTTGATCAACGTAAATCGGTTATTCGTCTCTTATAATAAGGAACGGAGGGAGTACCATATTATGCTTTGTCCAAAAGCCAAGAAAAAACGCCAACCAATTTTTTTTTTTTGTTTGAATCCGTAAGAACCAGTGAGTTTATGATTTGGTGGTGTAAAGTGTAATATTATGTTTTTGTAATATTTGACTAAATTTAATATTTTATATCTTTTTTTTGTATGACAAAAAATATTTTATGTCTTTACTGATGTTAGTAAATTTTTAATTTAAATATTATAGTTTAATTAATTTAAGTCAAATTGAGTTTCATCACGACTTTAAAATTTTTTTGAACACTATTTTCTTTATACATTAGATTCAAACTTGTGTACCAACTTGAAACCGTTGGGATGCATGTTTTAATTATCTAAAAATTATAGACACACTGCCCTACTATTAAAGAGGCGTAAGATAACCACATACCGCGAAGTGTTTTTTCTCAACCACAAGCTTGCCTTTTGTTTTAGGAAAAAAAAAACTAAAATATACTTTTAGTCTTTGTTTTATTTTGATCTCTTAATTTTAAAAAATAAAATTTTAGCCCTCTAATCCTAAAATTGTTAACAAAAAATATGATATTAAGCTTCTGAATGTTGATAAAATATTACTAAATATTAATATAGTAAATTTAATATTTAAAACAATCATAATTGTTATAAAAAATTTATTATTTGAGACTAATAATTTTGATATTAAAAGACTAAAATCATACTTTTTATGATTAAGAAACTAAAATGAAATTTTGTATAAAGTTAAAAGAGTAAAAATATATTTTAATCTTTCAAAAAGGAAAGAAATATTTAACAAGAAACGGACAGACGAACATGGCGGCAAACTTTCATTTCTTGTCTCGACTCGGCCGGCATTCGAACTTGTCTCTCACTGATCAAACCGCTTCGCCGATAATCTATTCCCTTCTTCTTTTTTACATGATTTGGGCCTTCAATCCAGTAGACTCCTCACCTGTCGCTCTTCCTCCTGCGTGATTGTCTCTGCCATAATCATGGAGGGATATTTTCCCCCCATTTTCCTGCTCGTCTTGACGTTCTGTTCCTTCGCATCATCGGCTCTGTCTTCCACCATTGGCGTTGACTCCATCTCCCGTCTTCTTGAAATTCAAGACCGCGAGAGGGCTCCGCCTTCCGTCCAGGAAGTCGCCGCCCGCGGCGTTCTTCACCGCTTGCTTCCTTCTCATTCATCCAGCTTTGACTTCCAAATTGTCTCCAAGGTTTTTGAATTTATATGACTTTTCATTTAGATTGTATTTGGAAAATTGACTTGTCTTGGTACTTCATTTGGTCCGCAGGTGGATGTTATTGTCTCGGCACTAATCTCTCTCTCTGTTTTTTTTTTTGGGGTAATTTCCTCTTTACTGGTACGACATTGCTGGCACTCATACTTTCTCTTTTTTTAACAAATCAACAGGAGCAATGTGGTGATGAATATTGCTTTATGATCAGAAACCATCCTTCATTCAGAAGACCTGGGGATCCTGAAATCTTGTATGCTTTTAATTTCTTCGCTTGCTTGCTTGATTTAGAATGTCTCAACCCCGCATTCAGGCTTCAGCCGACGAGCTATTTTGTCACATTTTTAGAATATCTGAGTCAGTGGACTAGGGATAATTTAATAGTCAGATTTAACGCTAAGAAGTTCATAAGTTGTTATTTATTTCTCTAACGGTTAGTTTTTTCTAACTAGGATAAATTAACGGCACTTGTAAATATTGTAGGTGCTTAATCTGATTCTTTAAGATGCTGACATAAACAGATCGGAGTTTATGGCAAAGGGCTACATAGTTTCGAAACTGTAGTTGCTTTTCCGGCAAATCAATGCCACAATTGAAACGGTGTTGTTTATATATCAGCCTCAGTAGAATTGTAATACATGCAAATAAATGGTATCTATCACACACATTGGAATGGAAGTCAGAGCTGACTTAGTGGAACTTAGAAAATGAGTACAAAATTTTCAATTGTCACCAGACTTGCTGGGACGACAGGAGTGGAGGTCGCCGCTGGTCTTCACTGGTACTTGAAGCATTGGTGTGGTTCACATATATCTTGGGACAAAACTGGTGGTTCGCAATTATTTTCTGTACCAAAAGCAGGATTTCTCCCACGTGTTCATGATACTGGAATTTTAGTTAAGAGGCCTATTCCATGGAGCTATTACCAAAATGCTGTTACGTCTAGTTGTAAGCTACTTTCAAGTCACCCTATGCTTTTCTGGTGTATGTGGATTGAAATATTAGGGTTGGGTACTAGAAGATTATATTTCACATTATCTTATTTTATCTACTTTTGGAAGATTCTTTTGCTTGGTGGGACTGGAAAAGATGGGAAAAGGAAATTGATTGGATGGCTATGCAGGGTGTAAACTTACCACTTGCATTCACAGGACAAGAGGCTATCTGGCAGAAAGTTTTCCAGGTCCTTTTGTCTGCCTTGGGTCTTACGTAATTTTTGGCACGTGTTTGACATTTTAACATCTCTTTGCTGTTTGGGGAAACTTTCTTTGGATTTCTTTCTTTCTTTCTTTTTTTTAATGCTCCAAATCACATAAATAGACAATGCTTGAAATGCATCTTTAGACGAATCCTTGATCACAAGTAATAAAATTTAACAAGTAAGCAGCACCATGAGGATGTTAATTCACTTTGTTAAAGAAATTGAGAGTAAGAAAACAAGTTATACATCATAATTTATAATTTTCTCATACTTTATAGCAGTTTGTTGGAAGAACAACAAATTGTCAAACCTAGCTATGTCCAAGTAACTCACTCTTAGAGGTGTTCCCTTTACATATTGGTAATTTTAATGCGAACTTGTACATTTTTTTATGATAATGGCGTCATGAGACAACTGTAATGACATAGCTAAAGTGTGCCGCAGCCTCCATGTCAATCTGTTTGGAATAGCTTCGCTCCCCTTTGCCATCTGATCACTAGATAACATTTGTAGTTATCTCATATCTGATAGTTTTATAGAATACGATAGTTTTGCTGCTGTTAGCTGATAACCTAGTTCTCGGTTGCACTTCTTTTGGATGTGCAATTCCTACTGTTTTACTGACTGGCAGTGTTATCTCTTGTTTGTTTGTTTGTTTTTTAATATCAGGCAGTGTTATCTTTCTTGCCAGTAAACATTCACAACTTTGCCCATTGCCCATTAATACAAGCCTTTTCATTAGCTCACTGTATTCACACCTCATTGTTATGCCAGTAGTTCAGTATTCTTAAAGAATTTCATAGATGCTGAAATGATATTTATTTTCCAGGAGAAATTTAACATGAGCAGTTCAGATTTGGAAGATTTCTTTGGTGGTCCGGCATTTCTTTCGTGGTCATGCATGGCAAATTTGCATGGGTGAGTGTGAGGACTCATGGGCTTGTATTTTGACAGTTTCATGTGTTTGAATTTGGGGTGAGCTAATTTAAGTTACATCGGTAGTTCATATGACTTCAGGTGTCATTCGTAAAATTGTCCAGTCAGATGCTTCAATCTGATTTTTTTTATGTTTCTATTTTTTTATTTTCATGATTAATAAATGTTAGGGTCCTCGTTTTAAGAGTATTGTAAGTGTTTGACAAAATTATTATTATTGTTGTTGTTGTTATTCATAATCACAGATGGGGTGGACCACTGCCTCAGAGCTGGTTGGATCAACAGTTGATCCTACAGAAGAAAATTCTTGCCAGAATGTATGAACTTGGAATGACACCAGGTGCCACTTACTATTTTGGATCTCTTCTTAACTTTTGCTTCCTAGTAGCACCCAACCCAAAAGTAGGTTCCCATGCATAAAACAGTGGTGTACCCATTTTACTTATATGCTGAATTAGCCTATCTTATTATACTTTTTTTGGGGGAAGTGACAGTTACATACTGACTTATCGATTTTCAGTCCTACCAGCCTTTTCTGGAAATGTCCCTGCTGCGCTCAAATATAGATTCCCATCAGCGAAAATAACACGCTTGGGAAATTGGTTAGTAGCCTGTGCATAACTATAATCGGGAATTCTATTTATCACCATTTTCTTTTCCTGTTTCCTGTACATCCATCTTGTTGAATTTACATAACATTCTCTCATACTGTATAGGTTTTCTGTTAAGAGTGACCCTAGATGGTGCTGCACTTATCTTCTTGATGCAACTGACCCCTTGTTTATTGAGATTGGGAAAGCATTTGTTGAGCGACAATTGCAAGGTAATGTACATGCATCTGCTTTAACTTTGTTGTCTAGCTTGTGAAATGTAGATTAACTTGGGCATCTATTCCCCAAGCAAAATTCAATGCTGTTCTAAATTAACTTCTTCTTCTTTTTTTTTTTTCACCTAGTGCATGGAACGACCAGTCACATATACAACTGGTAAGTTTTTAATCACTCATCAATTAAGAAAAATAATGCATCCATAAATTATCATTGCCTGAACCTTAGTTTGGTTCATGGAGATTCTAGAGGACAGTACTACTTTTCTTCAACATCGGATGCGGGTTTTCTAATTTAATATATTGGGGTGTGTGTGTGTGTAATTGGCTAGGCCTCTCCCTGCCTGAAAGTGTGTTATTTTGTCCTATCTAACTTCCTTGGGTCATAATGCATATCACTGAAGTCCTCGTGCTTATTTATATCCTACCGTTGTGCTTACTATCAGTAATTTTTACTTTATCCTTGATTCTCAGAGTTTTCACTGGATTATCAGAAGCCCTGACAACTTTACAATTTTCTGATTCTCTGGCCTGAATTATTTTCTAACTTCTTTTTACATTATCTTGTCTTGGTTTTAATTTATAAGAGGAATTAAATTCCGCTAACTTTAGATATATTGGAAAAAGGGTTTTAATATCATCAGTGCAAGATGATTGAATAGTATTTTGATTTTTGTTAGGTGATTGAGTGGAGACTCATGATGATAGGATGTTTTTGTCAACTATAGATCATGAGGCAAAAATCTAGTTATTATAATTATGTGAAGGTCTGATTGGATGCATTAACGAAGCTTGAGCACAAAATTGGCAATGGTTGATGCTGAAAATTTCTTTTCGGTGTCTGCCACAAAACTTCACAAGCAAGTGGGGTTGATTCAATTTGTTCGTTAAAAGATTCAATACCACATGAGGATTCGAGTGTTTAAATCTCAGCTAATTTGATTGAGGTTCATAATTTATCTTTCTAGAAATGCACCATCACGTTCATCATAGCGCTTTATATTATGGTTTTGTCTCATAGTGAAGATGTTTTTTCCATTGGATTACATCAAGTATGTTGCATTTATTGCAGTGATACTTTTGATGAAAATACCCCACCTGTTGATGATCCGGAATACATTTCATCACTAGGTGCAGCAATCTTTAAAGGAATGGAGAGTGGTGATCGTGAAGCTGTGTGGCTGATGCAGGTATATGACTGAGTTTGGGTTTTCTAATTTAACTTTTGGTGCTGTTAATTTTTCTTAGGAATCCAATGTTATACATGCAGAAGGATATACATTCCACTGAAACTCCGATTTCATTTAGCAGGGGTGGCTATTTTCATATGATCCATTCTGGAGGCCTCCACAAATGAAGGTTATATCCATAAATTATTTCCTCTGGACTATATTTTTTGTTCTTTAGAACAAGCGTTTTCCATCATTAATGATTGTCTGAGAATTGCGTGTTTAGAGCTCTTTTGCTAAGAGTGACATAAAGAATATTTGGCATATTGGCTGCAAACTGGCATTCCATACGACAATTATTCTTTTTTGTTCTTCTTTCTTCTTCTTCTTGGATTCTTTGCCTCTGTAGAATACTTTAGAATAAACTTTATATGGACTTTTGACAAGATACCCATATTAGTCAATTGATTTCTTTATGGATTCTCTGGTAATTTCTTTTGACTTGCTACTTCTATTTTTCAGTCGATAAGAAGTTTCACATGAGTCCTATCAATCTGTTTTATTTTTAAAATCATTTCTATGATTGTTTTCAGGCCCTCCTACATTCTGTTCCTACTGGAAAGTTGGTGGTTCTTGATCTCTTTGCCGAAGTAAAACCCATATGGATCACTTCGGAGCAATTTTATGGTGTCCCCTACATCTGGAAAGTCATTGGCCCTTAATTCAATGAAAACAATCTTTATGACATTTCTGTTGATGAATTTAACTTTCCCGGCAGTAGTCGTTTTCTGATTTTCTGTTTTGGCATAAGGATGTGAAGCCTGCCTCAATTTGTTGATCTGCTTTGAGTATTCTTATGTTGTTTGAGGACGTTCTCTGAACATCAAATCCTTCCTGGCACCTGGTTTGGGTTAGTACGGGTCCAGTTGTTAAACCAGACATTCATAAAGAGGGCTGTTTTAAAAATTATGGTGACATTATAGTATAGGAATGGAAATTGCCCTTGTGGAGCATCTTGGTGGGTTTCTCTACAAAATGCTCGAAACCCATAACAACCTTGAGACGTGTATATTTCAACAAATTAGTCTATTAGAACTAAGTATTTTGATGCTTGGAATTGGCTTATCAATCTAGACTTGGTATGAATTGCCAAGACTGCGAACTGCATACTCTTGATTCCATTTTCCTTTTCTTTGTTTTTCTTTTAAATTGATAGGGTGTCTTCTGTTTTACAGGTGTATGCTGCATAACTTTGCAGGAAATATTGAGATGTATGGTATTTTAGATGCAATAGCATCTGGGCCCGTTGAAGCACGCAAAAGTGTTAACTCAACTATGGTAAGTTTTTTGTTTTCATCTGTGATGAATTGCGTATTAAGTAGCTTCTCATCAATCTGATTAGTTTATGTAGCTTTATGACCTTATACCAAGCAACAAAATAGATCTATTAAATCGTCTACTTATCTTATTCTACGGCAGTCTAGGAACATGAAAAAAAAAGTTACTAAACATTGACGGAAAGTCTTTCGTGCATTTTTATGTTGGATACCTTGGAAGCTAACTGGTTTTAAGTTGGACGACTATGCTTCTATGTTGATGTACGAGTAGATTTACATTACTTTCCCTCTTTCTCTCCTTGTTTAACGTCAGACCCCCATGGGCGCTGTATCTTTAATCATCCACCTATTTTCCTTATAGGATTCAAGGGACAGAAAGAAAGAAGGAAACAAACTTTATTAAAATACTCCTTTGGTCCTATTTATAAGACTTTGAGAGAGATATTTTTCATATTAATGGACATAGGGATAAAGTTGGCAAGTTATTAAATTTTAAATGAGAATTAATGAAGTTTAAAGTTTTCTTGATCTGCGTGAAACATATTAGAAATGACTTATGAATAGGACTAAAGGAATATAAAATGAGAATGAAACAGCATAAATTAATATAGATGAAAGGAAAGTCACTATTAGAATATGATCAAGTATCTTAAACTAATACCTCATTAAAGCCTAAGAAGAATCTCCCAAGATTGCAGTGAATTTCAAAATTTATTCTACCCATCTCTACCAGCTTCTGGCTTATTTATAATAGAAAAACAGATATTGAACAATGATAAATAAATCAGAAAATAACTGATTAGATTCTAACCAACATTGACTCAATTACGTACAAATACTAGTTGAGATAACAGAAAATAAATGAACAACTCCTAAAACTATGCTAACAAACTGATCTGGCAACTTTATCCACTCTCACCCACAATACACGGTACGCTATCGATTCCAATATGATAGTGTTTTTCAAAGCAAGTCATTCTATGAATAATGTTACAGATTATTTTAGGGATAAGATGCTTAACAGCGGATAATAGCTTAGCACAGAAATGCTACGAAATAAAACTTCTAGGGCATATAAGAGTCAAAAAAAACTTTCAGGTGTTGGGCAATCCTTTGTGTATACTTCGAGATATTTAAGTACCTTATCTCCTTATTTTATGATATAAATTGTACATTTTATTATTGTGTACTTGTTGTATGAAGGTTGGTGTTGGAATGTCGATGGAAGGCATAGAACAGAATCCCATTGTCTATGATCTGATGTCCGAAATGGCATTTCATCATGAGAAGCCTAATGTTAAGGTAATAATGAGGAATCGTGGCATCAGTTTCTTGCATTTATTTCACTTGTGGTTCTAGAAAGTCTGATTATTGTGTCAGCTTCTGTTCTCCTTGTTCTTTTAATTGTGGACTTTATCTAACTTCATCCTTGGGCATCATTTTATCATTATATCTTGTAACAAATGGTTTTGCTTGCATCTCAACTCTGACCTTTTTCTGATAAGTGATAACGCCTACTTCCTGCGTTTTTTAGTATCTGTTCTTCAATTGCTAAATGAATTGCGTCTTAAATAATGGGTTAGTTCGAGCATTTCCTTGGAATAATATGTAGCCAAAGTGTGCTCTCATGAGTCATTTAGTCCGTTGTCAGGTCCCATTTATTGGTACGATGATTACCAGAGCTCTCTCATTTCTCCCTGTATTTTACGGCTTTAATTTATCTGCAGCTATATATGTATGGCATACATTCTAGTCCCTATTGCATTAGCTTCTCTAAATCCATGCTTGCTTTGTTTTATCTATTTTTCTCGTTAAAATTATTCATTATCCTTTCCTTTTCAGGCATGGGTTGATCGGTATTCTGCAAGACGATATGGTCGACCTATTCCTTCTATACAGGATGCATGGAATATATTACATCACACAATTTACAATTGCACCGATGGTGCCTATGTAAGTGCTTGTTTCAATCCTTTAATTTTCCCCAGATTAGTGGTTCCTTTAACATGGTCATTTCTAGAAAAACATACTGCTTAGGCCAACATATTTGTCAATCATACCTCTGATCCTTAATCTGACCGATTATTTCTCCTTGTAAACACAAGTCAACCTTAGCCGCACAGCTTCATGCTCAGTTCCGATCCATCTTTAACTATGCAGAAAGAACTAGAAGTCTATAGCATATTTTAGTCGTTCCATAATATTTTCTTCTTGTTTGCGGACAGGATAAAAACAGAGACGTCATTGTAGCGTTCCCAGATGTTGATCCTTCTTTAATTGCAGTCCAGCAAGAATGGCCTTACCACCATGGCAAGCCCGAATCAAGACCAGTCATCAGGGAAGTTACAGACTCGTATGATCGTCCTCATTTGTGGTATTCAACTTCTGAAGTAATTCGTTCATTGAAGCTTTTTATCTCAAGTGGAGATAAACTGTCAAGTAGTAGTACTTACAGGTAAGTAACTTTAACAACATGCTCTTCCTCTTGTAAAATCTCTACCAAATGTGTTCATTATATACAATATATATTCATTTTATTTCTTCTTCAATCAGGTACGACATTGTTGACTTAACGAGACAAGCCTTGGCAAAATATGCAAACCAGTTGTTCTTAAAGATCATAGAGGCCTATCAATCACATGATGTCCATAGTGTGACCTTCCACAGTCAAAAGTTTCTAGATCTAGTGGAGGATATGGACACACTATTGGCTTGTCATGACGGATTTCTCCTAGGACCTTGGTTAGAAAGTGCGAAGCAACTGGCACAAAATGAACAGCAGGAGAAACAGGTGAATTTGATTTATTATACTTCTCCACTTTTTAATGTAAGACCTAATTAACTAATTTGAATAGATTAAGGATGTTAGTTGAATTAGTTAATATGAGATGTTTTTTTTTAAATCCTCTAAGCATCTTTTTAATTCCCTTCCTCCATCTTCTATTTGATTTTTGTTGAGGAAAGATCAATAGGGTTTATTTGGGAAAAAATTGATAAGTATATGAAATATGTCTTATATTTAAGACTAATATTGATTCTCCAATTAGGTCCTGTATTAAATACTGGAGGAGTACAATTGGAATTTTATTATTGAATTATTGATGCGATTTTTACATCCACAGTTTGAGTGGAATGCGAGAACACAAATCACTATGTGGTTTGACAACACAGAGGAAGAACCCAGCCTTCTCCGTGACTATGGTATGATTTTCAATGCCTTGCTATATCTATAAGCCAGGGTTTACCTTATTGTTTCTTCGTCCAAAGTACTCGCATCACTTGAGTAATCTCCCATGAACCTTACGGAAAAATAGTTACGAAAGTTCTATGAATTTTTGGCATGATGACTACTACTTTATGTTGGCATCTAAATAGGAAACAAGTACTGGAGTGGGCTTCTACGTGATTATTATGGCCCTAGAGCAGCTATTTATTTTAAATATTTGATAGAAAGCTTAGAGAGGGGCGAGGATTTCAGGCTTAAGGAATGGAGGAGGGAATGGATAAAGCTTACCAACGACTGGCAAAGCCGTGGCAACATATTTTCAGTGAAGGGTACAGGAGATGCTTTAAACACTTCAAAATGGCTCTTCAACAGATACTTGAGCAGTCCCGGGACGGAGCTTATTACCCCTTACTGAAAGCAATCACATCAGCTCATCGTATTTATCTCCATGTACAGGTTTGTGTCATTATCGAATGTTCAAATCAGTTAAAGTTATCTTTGGACGTTTTTCTGGAAAAAGCTAAATAACAATCAAGGTTAATGATCCAGGAAAAGAATTTCTAAAAAGTCTCCAACATGTTCCTGGAGATATTATCGCGAGAGGGATACAAGGTACGATGACCACAGTAAGGACAGCGATCCATAGGCTTCTCAAAGTTGTGTCATGAGATTTATTCAGGGCTTTTTACTATCGTGTTAGCCAGAGACTCTATTTGTAAAATAAGTGGTGTAATGACAAATGAAACTGAAATTGTCAAGTAAAGTCTTAAAAGTAATCACTAATTCCGATTGTTTTGAAATCATTCTAGTAACTTGTGTTGGTGGCTTGGTGCTTGCATGAACTCACATAATGATGATTATTGAATCTTCAAGTCTTCTACTATGGGACGCTTAGCTACATTCAGAGCGTCCCTTAACATATAAATTGAGGCATCAAATACAAATACCAGTCAAACCAAAAAAAAAGAAAAAGCAGAGAGCGACATAAGGAAAGATTTCGGAACAAAATTTAATTTCTTAGGCACATTCTATCACTTCACATGTGCTTTGAGATTTTTAACACCTTTCTTTTCTAATTCAGCACATTTATTCTATATATTTGAAGAATACATATATTCACAAATGTGAAACTTTGAATGACTCATTATTTAGATTTTATATACTAATAAAATTAAATGCCATTACTTAGTTCAAATTTCTAGAAGAATGTTTTAATTTTAATGTTCACGTGGTTAGTTTTAAATCCAGAGTAATTTGAGGATTCTGTAAATTGCACCAAAAAAAGTATTGAAGCAGGTGTTATTTAGTCACCCTAGTTTTAACTGATTGTTTCTTAATTTTTAATGTATGTGCTATTAGCCTTACATTTTTCTTTTTTCAAAAGCATACATAATACTAGTAGTAAATAATAATCAATAAAATCAAACAAGCCCCAAGCTGGAAGAGTTTGAACAAAGCACAAATCAAATAAGAACCCTCAGAGTCCTTAATATAAGATTTTTTTAACTTTTGTTTTGATCTTAAATATAAGACCACAATTCGCTTTGTCTCTCATGTTTATGCATTTTTTTTTCAAAGTAGTCCTTTTAATAATAGTAGTTCTAGCCAATAAACTTGATTAGCAAGGATATTTTAGAAAAGATAATACTTATTTATTACAAATAACTAACTTAACTTCTTTCTTTAACCTCCTCAAATTAGTCAACTAACTCTTATAATTAGAATCGAAGGTAGTATATTGAAAACGTAGAAGGAAACTCAATAAAACCTGTAATGAGAAGCATCATGGTTAAAGAAAAAGTTCAACCAAATTCACACAATAATTGTAATGGGCTCTTAATTATCATTATTATTCTTCCCATGCATGGTGCATCTACTTTTCATTTTTCAAATAATTTTAAATTTACTAAATTATTGTTACAAAAAATCATTATTAAAGTCTAACGATTTTAGAGTTAAAGACTAAATGTGTGTTTTTTAAAGTTAAGAGACTAAATCAAAATTTTAAATAAAATTAAAGGACTAAATATCCAAATAAAAATTATTCTTCTTTTCCTACGTAACTATAAATCACAGTCAATCCAAGTGAAGACGTTCCCTACAACCGCTGGCGGGAAATGGTAAATACCCCTCGACCGACCAACTTCGCACCGGCCATCAAAGAGCTGACGCAAAAGTAAACAAAACACGCCCGCTTTAACGCCATGATCATGATCCATTGTCAAACTTCACATCAAATTATTGGAGGCTTCTCTTTAAAGTTGCACCTACCTTATCATTTTCTTATAATCAGGCAAATTATCACCACAAATCTTGCAGTTGTTGCTACTGAGCTCTGTTATATTTGCATTGCAGAGAGAGGAAAGCAAAGCGAAGATGACGATCACTGTTCCCAGCCGACAGCTGTTTGTCGATGGCGAGTGGAAAGAGCCAATCCTCAAGAAACGAATTCCTATCATCAATCCCTCCACTGAACTCAAAATTGGTTCTTTCCCTTTCTTTATCTCACTACATTGATTGGACCACGATTTCTTCAAATGTTGATTACTCAGTCTGTGTTATGTCAATTGTTTGTTCGAGTAGATAATACTGAGATTTGATAAAATATGGGGGCCGTTATGGACTGTGCTTTTCTGGATCATTGCTCAAGCGGAATTATCACTCATGTTTTTTGTCCCCTGCATTTTCCCCTTGCTAAATCACGATACAAAACATTTTACTTCTAAATCGATCTTGCAGCTTTATATTCTGTTTTAAACAAGTTCTAAGGTACAGATCATTCAACTGCACTTCAGGAGATATTCCAGCTGCTACGGCGGAGGATGTGGAGCTTGCAGTGGCTGCTGCTCGGAGAGCCCTGATCAGTAAGAAGGGTAAACATTGGGCAACAGCTTCTGGGTCCGTTCGTGCTCGGTATTTGCGAGCTATCGCTGCTAAGGTCGGGAATATTTTTGTTCTTTTAATTTTTTTTTTCCCCCCCACAAAATTGTAAATGCCTTAAGCCCATCCTGCACTTTGGCTCGCAGATAATAGAAAGGAAGTCTGAACTGGCAAAACTTGAAGCAATTGATTGTGGAAAACCACTGGATGAAGCATTGTGGGACATGGTAACTTTTAATGCTGGCAAATCAATAATTCTCTGCCATGTAAATTTACTTGTGTATGCATATGATTTTATCTAGGATGATGTTGCTGGTTGCTTTGAGTACTATGCTGACCTCGCTGACGGATTGGATGCAAAACAAAAGGCTCCCATACCTCTTCCCATGCAAACCTTCAAGAGTCATGTTCTTAGGGAGCCCGTTGGAGTCGTTGCATTGATTACTCCTTGGTATCTGTTTCTTATTTGTTTTAGCTTCACATGCACTCCTGTTTGTAGGCCTAGTGATTGTTTGAAGCTGTGCACGTCCATCACTTTGCATTGAAACTGATACTGGCGCCAGTTTCTTTTTTTCTCACAATTGAGTAACTTCTTTGCTCAGCCTAGTGACCACGAAAAAACCCATGTGATTCTCATGAAGAGTCTTCCCCCTAAATGCGTGCAGATCATGGCCTGTTAACCAGCAAGCATAAGAAAACAAATAAAGGAATTAAAGCCTGGGAGGAACCACATGTTAAATATGATTTCCGGTCTGTCAGTGGTTAATGAAGTGTTGTCAATGGCTAATTGATTGGAGGCTATTGTGTTTTAGGAACTATCCTCTATTAATGGCTGTGTGGAAAGTTGCTCCTGCCTTGGCTGCTGGTTGTACTGCAATATTGAAGCCATCTGAGTTGGCATCTGTGTATGTCCTTGTCAACTCATGCTATCTTGTTTATGTTGGTTCCCATAATAATCGTTGGCCATTTCAGGACCTGTTTGGAGCTGGGTCAGATATGTAGAGATGTGGGCCTTCCTTCAGGTGTCTTGAATATTCTAACTGGATTAGGCCCTGAAGCTGGTGCTTCTTTGGCATCACATCCTCATGTAGACAAGGTTTGATGATCCTTCATATTTTAGGAGAATTGAAACTATTGTTGGGATATATTATATATATATACTACCTCTGGTCCTTAATATAAGAACTAGTTTAACATTCAGTTTGGTCATAAATATAAGACCTTAGTCTACTTTTTCTCTCATATTTATCCATTTTTTCCAAAGTAATCATGTAGTAGTTACGTATGTCAAATGTTCCATCAATAGTAGTTCTAGCTAATATATATGGTTAGCAAGAGTATTCTTGGGAAGATAATGCCTATTTATTACAAATAACTACAAACTTTCTTAATCTACTCAAATTAGTTAACTAGCTATTATATTAAGAGCTGGAGGCAGTATATTGTTCTAGGTCTTTTAAGTATTGTTACCATGATGTTTTCCAAATTTGCAATGCTACCATGTCATCATCGCTGAATTTTAAATTTTCAACAGATTGCCTTTACTGGAAGCACTATGACTGGGAGCAAGATTATGTCAACAGCAGCTCAACTGATCAAGGTACTTTAAACCGGCATAGTCAGCAAACTATGTACAGTCCATGAATCATACAGTCCGTCTACTTTGATAGCTAAAGGGGAAAACAGAACCCAATACAGGCTTCCTATGTTGCTTACATCATCTGTCTTTTCTTCATGAAATATCTGGTATTTTGTTTCTTGGCAGCCTGTTTCACTAGAGCTTGGTGGAAAAAGCCCAATTGTTGTTTTCGAGGATGTTGACCTTGATAAAGGTCTGTATCATCTCAATTATAGCTATTTATTTGCGGACTGCCCATGTCTACTTGCATATTTAACGACATTTCCTCTTAAAACAGTTGTAGATGAGTAAATATTTTGTATCAAAGGTAGATTTCTTGATCTAAAAAGCTACCTATTGGCTTAAGCAGCTGTTGAATGGACCATGTTTGGCTGCTTCTGGACAAATGGTCAGATTTGCGCTGCCACTACCCGTCTTATTATACATGTGAGTTTTATAGGGACTAAGATTTTGAAATGCTCCATTCTCTCGCTGATATTTTTTTCCCTTTGACTATCTTGCATAATGGGAATATCATGTGGACTTGTATTGTCATAAATTTTGTTCTAGCTACTTTGGAGACTTTCCGTTTGACTTCATTTCTGAAAAATTGGTAACGTAAGATCTCTTGTTTTAGGAAAGCATAGCCGAACAATTTTTGAATAGGCTTGTGAAATGGATTAAAAACATCAAGATATCAGATCCCTTGGAAGAAGGTTGCAGGCTAGGTCCAGTCGTTAGTAAAGGACAGGTATGTTCTCACTTCTGCGAGCTAAGTCCATTGCATTTTTGTATTATAAACAAAGTTAAATGCAAAAAAAAAAAAAAAGTCAGTCCGTGTTCATTTTTAGGAAGGCTGCTTCTGCTGTGACAGAAGGTTTTATAATTAAAGTGAAAACATATGCTGTTTAATGATGTTCATATTACTTGCCTACAAAATTGAACAGATATTTTGCAGGAGGGTCAACCAACTTAATAATTTATGCCAAAAAGCTAAATACATGTCAACTTAATATATAAATGCATGTATAGGGGAATGCGAGCTTAGCTACTTATCTTCAAACTGGTGAATAACATTGTCGTTCTCTTTAGTAAAATCTTACTGCAAATGGAACAATTATATTTAGTCGCTTGACAGACATCTTGCAATCAGTTTCTTGGGGACCAACTTTGTGTTGTAAATTGGAGACCAATAAAGCAATCTGCCAAGTTTTTCAAGAATCTTTAGAAGAGAAATAATCTAAATTCTTCAATTTCATTCAGATGGCTGAGACACTGATTTACGGGGATGACCTCCACATATTTTTCACTAGAATCCGATGACGAATGGAGACCAAAATAAGGAAAGAAATCAAAGACATAAATCAATGAAAATATAATGGTAGATTTCACACATTTTCCTCCTGAGCTTGTAAATCAATTTTTCGTTAATTTATGGAATTATTTTGATTTATCTGAGATTATACGACATCTAATGTTCTTTTTCGGTCCAATGCAATATCTAATACTTCAATTATATGGTCCAGTACGAAAAGGTATTGAAGTTCATCTCAACTGCTAGGAGTGAGGGGGCCACAATTTTGACTGGTGGATCTCGCCCTAGGGTATATTGTTTCCTCTGTTATATTTGCTCAATTATGTATTGCTGATTTTCTATTACTGTTTAGAGGATTGATGACTTTTCAAATTCATTGACAGCATTTAAATAAGGGTTTTTTTATTGAACCAACTGTCGTTACGGATGTAACTACCTCTATGCAAATTTGGAGAGAAGAAGTTTTTGGACCTGTTCTATGTGTAAAAACATTTAGTACTGAGGAAGAAGCTATTAAACTAGCAAATGACACCCAGTGAGTTTATTTCAGTGTCTGGGAACTGAAATTACTTTTACAATTGCACTTTTTTCCCTCTCACTTTATTTGCATACCAACGCCAAAGTTAATATATATTTTGATCTTTCATAGGTATGGCTTAGCTGCTGCTGTGATATCAAATGACCTAGAAAGATGTGAACGCTTAACAAAGGTGAGGCTGATCCGAGATTGTCATAGACACGCCAAGATTCGGTTGCTTTTGGATTAAAATAGTTTATTTTGCATCTCTGCAGGCTTTTCAGGTGGGAATTGTATGGATCAATTGCTCTCAGCCGTGCTTCACTCAAGCCCCATGGGGAGGCATTAAACGTAGTGGATTTGGTCGTGAATTAGGAGAATGGTATGGCCTTATTTCCTGAATAATAAATGCAAGAGTATGCCTTTTATAGCTTCTACAAGTGATTGCGACAACACCACCTTAACACGATTTATGTTATGCCTAAAAGCATTAAAAATTATTCATAGTAAGTTAGTAACAGAAACACTGTCTTATGAACATAACAAGCATGCTACAAAACTGACAAGACAAAAAGACTGTGATAGACTCGGATGCAAAGTAAAAGCAAATATACTTATTTTGTCGAATCTGAGGGTGAAAAAATTATCCCTTTCTTACACCTGTTTAGCATCATCTGAACAATGGAGTCTGATCTTTTTTTTTTTTTAAATTTTTAAAATTTTCAGGGGGCTTGAAAACTATTTGAGTGTAAAGCAAGTGACTCAATATACATCAGATGAACCTTGGGGGTGGTACCAGTTTCCTCCAAAGCTGTGATAGCTGACCATGTAAATTAATTAATCATAATTTGTTGTATTTAAAACCGACGCGGAACTCGGAAGGACGAATCTGAGTCTTCAAATTTAAGTTTCTAAAACATATTATGAGACTGGTTTGTGGTCAAGTTTATGCTTTGCTGTGCTCTTAATTTGGTCATAGCATATTATATTATCAGTTCTTCCTTGTATGGTTGCATTTGAGCATAGATGAGTTGAAGGGAATTAGTGTTACTAGTTTGAGACGAATCACAGTAAATTTACACAGTATCGATCAATTTATAGGTCAGGGATATGCTCTATAGTGAGTCACAGCTTTTCAGCTTGAATGATATAATGGATTCCTGAGAGTGCACGTAGTTGGGACTTGGGACAACCATTTCAATCTCTCAATATTTGGATTTCATCCTCACATTTTGCAAACATTCCCTTACAAAGAAACACCCATTGAAAGAAGAGTTTTGGCTGGTAAAGTGTAAAAGAACTTTTTTAATTCATTCTCTTTTCGCAGACATCCCCATTACAATTGGCAATACATTATTGAGAATCAAAAATATTGCGCAACTGTCTTTATTTTTATGCTACTACATTTAATTTAACGGGCATTCAAATTTTTCCTATAATAATTGTGTGGTATCTATGAGATGAGAAATTTTTATATATTGCTTTTCTGGCCAATGAATTCTTATTTACTATCAAGTAAGTCCCTACATGGCAACTTTAACTAGGGGGATTCATTCACTGGAAAGTTCAATTATCTAAGAAATTATGGGGGTCTTGTAGCTTAAAAACACCAAACGCCTCTCTTGACTCCTTTTATATTGCGAGGTTGTAAGTTCGAAAGTTCTGTGAAAGATATAATGGGTTTGAGTTATAGCCAAAAAATTCAAGAAAATTATTTTAAAAAATCAATATCTATAATAATTAATTAATAAATATATAACTAGTAAACATCAACATTCAACGTAAAATACAAAATATGGAAGGTATCATAAGTTTCATCAGTTTTTTGGCCAAAAAAAAAAAGGTTTTATCATTTTTTTTAATTTCCAGCTCCATGTAAATAAACAAGATTACCATAATGATCCTAAAATATAGTAATCGTAACATGGCGATAATTGATTTTAAAAAGAATTACAATAATTGCAGTGTAGAGAAAGGCAAAGGGCAGTAACTGCGCTCATTGAGAAAAGACATGATTAGTCTGTCCATTTACCATGTGATTAGGTGCAACAACTGGCTAGGATTACGTGCTCAATGCCAAAAACAAGATCCTTCCCAGCACTTTACCTTAAAAAGCAACGGAGAAAATGCTTTTGTAAAAATGAAAGATACAAATGTCAATGCATTCTTATTCCAAACTCAATTTTTAAATTATCAATATGTGATCTAAGATAAATATTTGATAACTCAATTCATAATTAGTTGGGTGACACAGTAGTATTTTTCATTGGCAACAATATCAAAGAATGTTTGGATGAAAACCAAACTATGGTTTCAAAAGTGTTTTTATAGTTTACGAAATAAATATATTGAGAAATTTGCCTTATTTTGCCAAAAAGTACTTTTTAAAAGTACTTTTGAGGATTGTCAACCACTTTTTTAGTCCCGTTGGCTCAAGACACTGAAGGCAAAAATGTAATCCTTCCTTATTTTTATTTTTTTAGGCTCCATGACTTGTAAATTTTATAACATCCTATGATATCATTTGTTTTTCGTATTTAGATAAATACGATAAATAAAACCGAGTCTAGTTTTTTTTTTTTTTAAAAAAAAAAAGCTCTTTATCGTACTTGTTTAAAATAGTAATATCATCTTACTAATTGATTTAAAGATTACATCTGGATCTATCTCTTATACAAATCAAACTAGACATTCTTCTCTTCACACGTGATAAATAATAATTTACAGATTTTGTGAAGGAGTATTATTTTTAGTATTTAAATTCCATTGAAATATGTCAACAATTTTTTTTTTCTGGCCAACGAAACATGTTTACAAAATTTGAAGAACTACAAGTGTATAAAAAAACTTGAAAAAAATTACACATAGTTGGAAAGAAGTCATATTAGTCATAAATTATAAGTCATTTTTAAAAAAAATTATGACGTGAAATAAATGTAAAGCCATAATGGAGAAGAGAAGATTCCTAGTATTTTCATGTGCCAACAGAAGCAGCGGAATCGTATTACCACTTGCACTAATCTCCTTTGTTTACAAGAAATGACATGAACGGCTTCCTTCTGAGATAAAAACCAGATAGGAGACAACACAAATGAACAAATTCTCGAAGAAAATCTTCCCCAGGGACCAAAGTGACAAATTCGGTACTAAAATCCGAATAACCTCGCGGAGGGAAGGTAGATGGAAGCTTCCTCTTTCGGGATCCACACGATGAGTGATAACCATTTTTTAACTCTTTAGCAAAAACTGTGCACAACCCGCCCAACTGTGAAGTGTCGTTCTCTAATTTGTTTTCCTTCGCATGCTCGACCGACCCTCGCAATAAGATTGCAATAAAGTGGGTCCGCGTAAATTCTATCTCAGATCGCATATCCATTTCCAGCTTCTCTCTTCTTGTGGGTCTTACTTAGCATTAGCAACATTGCCTGTTCAGATATATTTTCTCTCTTGACATATACGACAGGTAAAAATGAAAGGAATTACTGTAATTATTAGTGTTCCGTGGCGATAGACGAAGAAGGTGCCAAAATATAATGAGCTTTTTCTCTTTTACAAGAAGCTGAGCCTTCTTTGGCATTGTAGCAGACAGTTTGGGGCTTGAGGAGATCTGAGCTTTCGCTGGAGAGGATGGGAATTGCAGAGGAGAGGGTGGTTGCTGTGATCATGGTTGGAGGACCGACTAAAGGTATGAATTCATTTGAGATTGTAGAGCAGTTAGCAATTCACAATTCATAGTTTATTGTTTTTGAGTTCTGAATCTTGAATCAATGAATGCCACGATTATCTCTTTCTGTTGCGCAAAGAACGTTGGATTTGATGGGACGTTATGTTCACCGATACTATTCTTACTGTCTCTTCTCCGTCCCTTTCTTTTCCTCTCTCTGGCCAAAAATCCCATGTCTTTCCGTGTACTTTGAATTTCTCTTTACCACTTGCTGTTAATGGGAAATGTGGTGGCTGGATCTAAACTTTACGTTGCTTAACTTTGTATTGGTGTGTGTTCCTTAGTTTCTTGAGATTAGATACGTGGTTCGTCATGTTAAACATGGATTTTGGTGGGGTAATTGGATGTACAGGCACCAGATTCCGCCCATTGTCATTGAACATACCCAAGCCACTTTTTCCTTTAGCCGGACAACCCATGGTTCATCATCCAATTTCTGCCTGTAAAAGGGTATGTTACTGTGAACAGAAGGGAATCTTCATTTTTAAGAATCTATATGCAATCCATCAATGAGTTAACTGTTATTGTTGTCACAGATTCCAAATTTGGCTCAAATTTACCTTATTGGTTTCTATGAGGAACGTGATTTTGCATTATACACATCGTCCATATCGAATGAGCTCAAAGTCCCTGTTAGGTAATCTCATCATCTGTTATCTTTCTGATTTTTTCAGAAATTGTTTACTCTAGTTTGGCTCCATTTTGAATGAGATCACACTAACCACTTATACCATTGACTTGGATAATAGATACCTGAAGGAAGACAAACCTCACGGTTCAGCTGGTGGTCTTTATAATTTCAGAGATTTGATTATGGAGGATAACCCGGTTATTGTCTATACCTGACATTTTATGTGTTCATGGTTTGACAGTATATTGACGGTGATGCTCACATTTTGTTCTGCAGTCACACATTTTCTTGCTGAATTGTGATGTTTGTTCCAGTTTTCCATTGCCAGAAATGCTGGGTAATTCCTTTTTCTCATATAGACTAAAGCATAGACACTTCAAAAACAGAAAAACGTCATTGTTCAGCACATACCATACACTCGTATTATACATGACATGACGCTCAGATGTGGACGCTTCAAAATGGTTTTTTGCTGTGTCCATTTCATTGTTGTGCCCTGCATCAATGTTAGCCTTCATGGTTCCTTGGACATTTCAGAGTTCATGCTACTTAGGACGTAGACCATATATTTTCTCTGTTGTTCTAAAGTGATATGCTTGAATGTGTTTACTGAAAAATTAATTTTGGCCTTGTTTTATTTTGTCCACAGATGCTCATAAAAGATATGGTGGGATGGGAACAATCCTAGTTGTGAAGGTTGGTCAATCATGGCACAAACGGATTTATATTTTCTGAGCATGAGTTTTGATATTTGGCAATCATTTTATGATCCCCTTGAAGGTTTCAGCTGAGACAGCAAATGAGTTTGGAGAATTGGTAGCTGATCCAATGACCAATGAGCTGTTGCATTATACCGAGAAACCTGAAACATTTGTAAGTTCATAAGTTTACAGATCCTTTAACTGCTGACTTAGTGTTTGAATCTTTCCTTACATGAGATTTTCACCTCATACGGCTCCTCGAAGGCCATAAATAAATCTAAGGGACCGGGCTGCTGCTGTCCCCCATCTTATTCTGATAGCTTCCCTGTATGTAGGTTAGTGACCGAATAAATTGTGGTGTGTATGTATTCACACCAGATGTCTTTACTGCCATCCAGGGAGTTTCTACTCAGCGGAAAGATAGAGGTAAGGGAACTTCCAAGTGGATGAATTGCCGTTTGCTTTGTTAGTCATATTACTTAAATTTGAATTTCAGGATAATTTGATGCTAGAATTTGTGATGTTGAAACTATTTTGGACTTGACTTGGTGAAGTAATGACAAAATCATTTTTTTACTTCTTTAATTCATGACTTAGTCTATTGATAATTACTAATTACTAGAATAGGTCCTAGTATTATTTATTTATTTATTTTTGTTAAACTCTGTTTATTCACTATTTTATTTGCAGCTAATCTGAGACGTGTCTCCAGCTTTGAAGCACTGCAACCTGACACAAGGTAAGTACTTATGCTGTTGAAAAAAATTCATTTTTCTTCCGAGTTGGTCAGAAGATTTTATAAAACCCCAAAGTACAGCATAACAATAATAGCGCTATAATTCTATAGTTCATCTTGTATCTGATTCACCAAAGCTTTTTTGCAGGAGTCTTCCTTCAGATTTTGTAAGATTGGATCAAGATATCCTCTCACCACTTGCAGGAAAGAAACAGTTGTATGTATATGAAACCAAGGACTTCTGGGAACAAATTAAAA